GGTGTTCTGGCAGCACTTATGTCAGAAACTAAGGTTACTTCTAACTACTAAGGCAGTGCAGCTCTGCAATACTCCCAATCAGATCAAGGGTTGAAAAAATAAGCTGCAACTAAAAAGGAATTGCTTAAAGATTATGAAGGAGATCCTGTGATGGTCACCTGCTCTGACACACACTAGCTTTGATGACACAAGGCTTTCCTACCAGAGTGTTTCCGTCTTGCTAAATAAATTGCTGTCTTCTCCTCCCCACAGATATGCACGCTGCTCAAGTGCAAGACCACTGACCTGAACACATGCGGGCAGCCGGTGGAGACTGCGCAGACCAAGTTTGAGACGTTCTCCCTCAGCGGCACGTTTGGCACTAACTACGTCTTTCCAGAAGTCTTGTACAGCGGGGTGCAGCTGGCCCCCGGGGAGTTCGAGGTAATGGGACACCCTGGAGCTGTGTCATGCTAGGTTCTCTGCAGGGTAGTAATGGAATAAACTGTCTCAAAACAGCCAAAGTGACCTTGCTCATAGTGAATAATCAGATCTATTAAATACATTTTAATGAAGTCACTAGTTTCAGTAAGAGATATGGTCTGACGTATCTTCTTCCTGTTTTGTCACACCTTTCTGAGCTCTTAGCATATTCATATGGGTACTCCTCTAATTATGTCCTTCTCTTACCTTTTTCAATCAGGTATTGAATGATGGGCGTCTGATAAGTAAGACAAGACCAACAAAACCAGTCGTCACTGTGACACTTTTTGGACGGTGGTATGAAAAGGATCATCTGAAACAAGTCCTGCAACCACCAACCTTCCCATGATGTTACCATAACTGAAGCTGTACACTATTAATCTCATGACCAAATGAGATACAGCATCCTCTACTACAACAATCCCAATTATGTATCTTATTTCCAGTTGCACAAACTTCTTATCAATGTGTTTTATTTAGTACTAATGCAGCAATATTTTTTTATTGCTACAATTCATTGAGAAGTATCTATTTCTATATCGTAAGATTACTAATCTTTTATTAGTGCAAAACAGCAGTTGTGTTTCTCTGTTTTCTGGATTTTTATTTTTCTAGCCCTCAGAAAATCTGTATTGTGGGCCAGAGGATACATTCTTATTAAAATAGCATTGCATATTTTGTAATTGCAGATTATTATGAGACCAGTAAATAAAACAGTGAAAGATGTGATTTGTGGCAGCTCTATACAAAAAAGCTCAATAATGCTTTGTCTCCGATATACAACTACTTATGCTGACCTATGCAAGTCTGCTCTTTTACCTCACTTACACATTTTTTTTCCTATTCGTGTTGCCTTGGTTTTGTTGCCTTTATGCCATTGGTGCACGTTGTGTGGCACATGGCAGCATAGAACAGTGCATCATGGAGGCTGAGCAAGAACTCCAATCAAAGAGCCAACCCTGAAACAAAACTTGCCACCACCTCTTGGTCAGAACTCAACATGAAGCATCATTTCTTTGAAATCTCTGTTGAACAAAAACTTCGAATTGAAACCTCAAAATGTTCTACTTGCCAGTTCTGAACAACAGCTTGTCAGCACCTGATGGCTGCACTAGGTGCTATTCAGTGCTGGAACTGTTTGCACCCAGTAAAGAGGTCACTGAGTGACCTGGTATCATACAGCAGCTCCTCCCTCCCATCTTCTCTATTTCTTTCTGGCCGTGTAACACCAACATACGTGAAATAAGCTTTGTCCTTTGCTCCTTCATGATAATGCTGGGTGGTGCTGCCCTGCAAATTCATTTACTGTATGGATTAGAGGGGTTAGATATCTACTTAAGACCAGCTACTGCTGGTGAGAAGGCACTGTTCACATCTTTGCTTCCTCTCCTCCCCCAGCGACCTGTGCTTTGTTGCTGCTGCTGGACCCTAGTGACCTTCCTTCAGTGTACCAGTGTATAAATATGTCCATGTTCTGTGGATGTGTCTTTAAGAGTGGTCAGAGACCCCTATTAATCTAATTTCTCCTTCCTTTTCCCCACACTGGCACCACTCCTGGTCTCATCATGGTGCTCTCAAGGTCCTCAGTCCCATGTACTTCTGTTATGAAGCTGGTGAGAAGCTGGGAGTGCAAATACTATCCAAACTCCAGCACTGGTTATCACTGCTGTGCACCATATGACCTTTTCTGTTTTCAAATGTAAATAGATATTCACATGTGACATGACATAACATAGTGTCATGTCTAACATAATGACATTTATTAAAAGCCCCAGACAATGTACTTTGACTCATGGGAGCTCAACATCAGTGCTGCTAGAGCCACGCTCCCTCAAAACCTTGTTCACTGTTGGAGTCAGTTACTGTTTGACCACAGACTGGTCCCAGTCTGGCAAGGGATTATCCCATGTGATCCTCTTCTCTTGGGTACAAACTCAGTGCAGATACTGTGCTTGTGCCCCAGGAACCTGGAGGGTGATACTGCAACTCTCTCCCAGGGAAAGGATCTGGATTTAAGGGAGGCTATGGCATGCAAGAAGGTCTCATCTTGCAGTGCAGAAGGGACTCAGCAGGAGCGCATGGCTGGTCCAGGAGGTGAGAGGCAGCTCCTTCAGGTCTGTTCACTGCCGATACCAGTCCTCTGGCTAAGGGAATGTGTGTGCAAATAGTATATGATCCCAACCCTGAATCTGGTGAGTATCTTGAATTCAGGATTTGGTTCAAGGCCATTGTGGTTTAGGTATATTTGTATGTTGAGTATTTTTCTATAGAAGACTGGCATAAGTCACCATGGCACTAAATTGTTTTTGTTACAAAGATTGCATAACATTAATCGTTGTGAAATGTGTTATTGTGTGAAGGGAGTCGAGCATACAGAAAGTAATCCGATGCAAGTCTACCCATGCATCCACATACCGACTCAGTCTGTATAAAGACAAGGCTGCGTGTAACCACTGAAAGCAATAAACACTTCTTCCAGGGAAGTGCAGCAAAAAAGCATTTCATTACCTGACAGCTGGGACAGAACCAAAGAAGGTAAGAAACTTGGGCAACCAGATACAAGTGATTAGTACATGTGCAGCTTCAGCTTCAAGATTTCTGCTGGAGTGATCCGTAGATGTAAGAAAGCAGGTTGCAATAGGCAAAATTTAGAAATTGTGGCTCTCATTCACGATACTCTTCCAACAGAGACCTTTGGGGACCAGAGATCTTCAGAGCTCAGTTACTGAGCGATGTGCTGATGGGTTTGCTCAGACAAACAGCCTGCCTGGCAGCCCCCTTGCAATGTGGAGCAGCCCCCAAAGGCCCCACAACTCTGAGCCGGTGCTGTGCTAAGCTGGGGTGGCACAGGTAATGCCCGTGCAGCAGCACTGAGCTCGGGACCGGCTGCCTGCCTCCTGCAGCCCTGCCTGCACCCCGTGCCCTCTGGTTTGGCCAGGAATGTGTCCGTGCTGGTCTTTGCTGAGATTTCCCAAACTCTGGCTTGTTTTCCTGCTGTGACCCGGCCTTGCCTTGAGCTGCATTACTACAGCAATGTCATGCCTGAATTGTTAATCTGGCAAGCGATGTTGTTTCTTCAGCTGCAGCTCAGTGGTGACTTCCCTGTCGGTGGTGTAAGGCAGAATTGCTCAATGCTGACGGCTCTCTTGCCTTTGATGTTGTGAGACTTTCCGGGCAGGGTGATTGCATCTCCTGGTGTCAGGTTTCTGCCACTCTGGGGAATTCCCAGGTTTTGTGCAAGACTTTCCCTTCTAAAGCCCCCTGGCTTTGCTTGCCCCATCCTCCTCTTGGGCGACTTCCAGGCTCCAGACATGGGGCTTCCTAAAGCTCGTGCCTCTGCCGTGCTTTTGGTGCTGTCTGCTCTGGAGGCCTGTGCCCTGGACAGCGACGTCGCAGCCATCTACGAGCACAACGTGGTCTTGTCAGAGGACACTGAAGTGCCGGTTTCTCCTGAGGAGGCCTTGGTGCTGATGGACAAAAAAAAGACTTCTGGGTGAAACTACATAGTGAAGAGGAAGATATTGTCAGGATGAAGAATATTTTCCTTGGTTTCTTGCTGAGCGGTAAATGATTAGCCAGGTTATGTTCCTTTACCCTCACAGACATACTGCAGGTTCTGACACAGTTTTTTTTTATGAAGCACCTGGAACTATAGTAGTAATACCGTATTTCCAAAATACTATGCAAAAATTGCTTTCCATGAGAAAGAAAATGCTTTGTATGAGTAATTTCAAATTGCTTATTGTGCAAAAAATGCCTTTCATAACAAAAATAGTAAAAAAAAAATCTGTGTCATTTAATTCTTTCTCACAAATCAAGTGAGTATGTTAGACATAACAAAAATAGTAAAAAAAAAATGTGTCATTTAATTCTTTCTCACAAATCAAGTGAGTATGTTAGCTCTAGGCAGAGAGATCAGCACAGTTCAAGGGTTAGTTTATATTGCAATATGAACTCGGGAGGGAGGACACTCTCAGGGCACCTGGTACAACTATAATAAGCCATTGGCCAAAGGCAAGAGGCATGGCAGGACCACCTGTCTCATAAGCGTAGATGAATCAGCTACACTCTGAAGCGTGAGGGCTGTACTTCAGGCAGGCAGTCTGCCTTCACCCCTGCCTGGATTTTTAACCGATGGCAGCCACGTGCAGTAAAGTTATACAGAGTAGTGTGCCCTAACTACGAGAGTCTGGGCTTGTCCTGAGATGGGTTTGGAAGCCTGGAGAGGGATGTATGAATGGAGTGTGTAAGTGCTCCTTCCATGGAGACTCTTGTAGATCAGCATGGCTTCTGACATGCTCTCTTAGCCTTTTGTTCATGTTTTATTTACAGCATTTCAAATTGGAAACAAGTTCCACTTCCTAGAAATGTCTCTTTGACTTCTTAGTATAAATAAATATCCTGACTGTTGGCAGAACTATACTGTACCTTCCCAGATTACTCAATAGAAGATTATTTCCAAAGCAAACTTACTAGTCTTTACTCCTCCTCTTTCTATCTGGCTTATATTCCCAATGCCTGATCCAGGAGCTGTGAGGCACCAGCCATGCTCCCGTCCCAGCCTCTCCTGCACGCTGCGGTGTTTGCACTCGCAGTCCTTCAGGCCCTTGCCTCCGACACCTTCACTGCAGCCGTCTACGAGCACGCGGTCATCCTGCCAGATGCCACTGGTGAGCCTGTTTCTCCTGACGATGCTTTGGCCCTGATGAACAAAAACATGGATGTCTTGGAAGGAGCCATCAAGGAAGCCGCCCAGCAGGTACCAGGTGTATCGTGAGCATTGTTAATTAGTGTTTTCTGCTCCTGCTGACCCTCCTGGTTACCTGTCGATGGGTGAATTCTTAACGGAGCCTGTTGTGTCAGGGCGCCCACATCATTGTGACTCCTGAAGACGGCATTTATGGCTGGCATTTCACAAGAGAAACCATCTACCCCTACCTGGAGGACATCCCTGATCCGGTGGTGAACTGGATTCCTTGCACCGACCCCACAAGGTGATTTCTTCTGCAGTGATTTACGTGGTTTTGAACTAGTGTCTCATGGAGTCATGAGCTGCTCCCAGTAAATGTCTAAGTACTGCTAATTTTTTTAATCTGTTAAAAATCCCAAGTACTGTAGAAATGGGATGCACCAAAAAGAACTCTTAATTAAATGGCAATGGGAATATGCAAGGTAAAAAGCATTGAGACAGTCTCACTTTTAAAAATGGCAAAAAGAGGAAAATGAGGAAATTTTAGGCAAAATAATTGTTTTTAAAACATGTAAAACTTCATCACTTCAGATCAATTGTGAAAATCTTCTGTAAGTATAAGCTAGTTTATTATCATGTTGGATACATAGATCAGACAAGGTGATTCAATCCTCAGCTCACGTGGCTGGGTGATTTCTAAATCAAATTGCACAAAATATTTCTCTAGGTCTGAAAAAAATGCCTTTTAGAAATCCAACTGCTTGCACAGTCTGCTGTGTTACACAGGGCTGCTCTGAACGTGTGTCAGCAGGGAGGTCCAAGAGGACCAGTTCGTGACTAAGCTAAGCTTTTGTATTCTTCTGTTCTGAGGCTTTATGAAGCAAGATTTCAAGAGTCCTCAGCTCTGTAAATATTGTGGCCACTTTTTACTAAAGGATTATGGGCAGCTGCCTTAAACAGAGTGAAGAGTCTTAAAAAAGGCTAAAATGGTCTTTTAAATCAAGATTTAGGTCTGCCTGAAAATTTATTTTTAAGTTATTTGAAGTTTATATTTGTATATTGATTTAGTCTCCCCTCTTGTTTTCTGAAGCTGTCCATATCTTTGTATGTGTGTTAGCTGGGAATTATATCCACACAGAAAATAACATTGTTAAGGGTACAGGAAAGAAGAACACAGGGAGACCATTTTTTAAAGCTAAAAGAGACCGGCAATTTAAAATGATGCTATGAACAGAGAAGAAAATGAAGAGAAACTATGATTTGATCTATCCCTTTTTCTGCATCTGGGGATATGCAGTTAGTGGAATAGTAATTTTGAATGCATTTCTTCCACATCTGAACTTAAACTTTTTTGGTTGTTTTCTTTCACCAAAAATGCATTAGATTTGCTCCAGCACCAGTGCAGGAACGACTCAGCTGCATGGCCAGGAATAACTCCATCTATGTGGTTGCAAACATCGGGGACAAGAAGCCGTGTAACTCCAGTGATGCCGGCTGCCCCAGCGACGGTCGCTATCAGTACAACACTGATGTCGTCTTTGACCCGGAGGGGAAACTGGTGGCTCGTTACCACAAGGTAAAGAGGCATTTCAGCATCACCCTGTAACTGATTATCAGTATACTTTTCATCTCTCTGGCACCAATTTCAGACAGTTTATATAATAATTTTACACAATTGTAGAGCGACAACCAATCCAGGATGATCCGATGCGAGGATCTTATGGCCAGAAGGAAAATTAGGCAAGTGCTTGATCGATCAGGCATTATTCCCAGGAGCACCGCAGCTGCAGAGCACATGCTGGATACCAAACACCTAAGGGCTACATTTATGATACTAAACGGGAAAGAAGCAGTGACAGTTTTCCATACTCAGTAAATGTTAGCTGGTCCTCAGCACAGTTTTAGCCAAGCCAGATAGCGCTTTTGCAGGTGATGTCTTGGCAGGGTTTAGCAGTTAATATTGGCTGGGCATTGCTTCCAGGAGGCAGCTGGGGCGCAGCCACCCCGTTTTGCAGGGGGAGAGGGTCAGCTGGCTGGCTGGAAACCTGCTGTGCTGGCCAGCTCAGGTATCTCAACCCCCAGCTTTGCCTTAATGCCTATCTCAGATGCGAAAGTAGCTGTTCATAACCTTGCTTTATTTTTAGTTTCTAATATGCCATTTTCTTCACGGGCAGTACAACCTATTTAGGAGAGAAACTCAGTTTAATTACCCAAAAGAGCCAGAAGCCGTCACCTTTGAGACCCCCTTTGGGAAGTTTGGCATTTTCACATGCTTCGACATCCTTTTCCGGGAGCCTGCCGTGGTCCTGGTGAGCGAGTTGCAGGTGGACACCGTGCTCTTCCCGACGGCTTGGATGAATGTCCTGCCATTTCTGACTGCGGTTGAGTTTCACTCTGCCTGGGCTATGGGCATGGGTGTCAATTTGCTTTCAGCAAATACTCACAACATCACCTTGGCGATGACAGGTGAGTTGCATTTGGGAAAAGGGAAATTGTCTTCAGAGTACTGGATTCAGAAGCAGGCAAAAATGTTTTACAAATAGTGAAGTCTCTGGAAAATAGTGTTTCAATCAGACTAAAAATATTCTTGATGTTGTACTGAATGTAGTAAACACCTTCAGGCAAGGAAATGTTGAATGTTCTGGGAGAGGTAGAATGAGAAACTGCATGACATGAAATTTTGATAATACAGAAGTGAAATTTTATTTCAAAAATAGCACAAAGTTTCACTTAAATTTTCAGCCTTTCATTTAGAAGCAGCATTTTTTTGTTTAAAATTCAATCAACAGTTCAATGGAGAAAAGATGTTTTAAACAGAACTTAATAACCTAAAACCAAAAGGAGGATTCCCGTTGTATATTGAATAAAACATTTTCAGGTTTTTGTGGTTGCTGAAGAATTAGAGGTATTTATGTTTCGGTTTGATCTGAATAGATATTTACTGCCAATTTTTTTTCTGTAAACTGAGAAAACATTGCTGTAGCTGCATCTGTAACTCTCCCCTGAAGCCGAAGCCACAAAGGAACATTTTTTCCTGCTCTAAATAGACTGAGCTGAATTTAGGCCACAGCCCTGGGTTTCCTTCTGTGAAACGTAATTACCCCCATCATTTCCTTCTTTGGCAAATACACCACTCTTAGAGCTCTGATTTCTATTTAAATTAACATAAGTTCTTTAAAAAAAAGGGATGGTCGTGTGTGAAATTGCCATTTAAGGCTCAGATTCAAGATCCAGCGAAGCACAAAACCTGTGAAGGTCATGTTTAACCTGTGAAGTTTAGTTCATGTTTTTACACTATGATGGGTATTTTAGCGGTTCTGTGCTTTAAAATTATTCCAAAATTCTCCGTAACATGTTGACTGAAAATAGCATCACTGAAAAAGCCCGCCGGTGTGGCACGGGGGGCGGCTGGCCCCCCTGCCGAGCTGTGCTCTGGGGTGCCGGCTGACGGAGGGCTGGTGGGTGTCCTTGGCAGGCAGCGGGCTGTTCACGCCGGAGGGACCCGCCGCCTACCATTACGACAGTGGGACTGAGGAGGGACGTCTCCTGCTAGCAGAGCTGAGTGCACGCCCCCGTCTTTCTCCCACCTACCCCCCTGCCGTCAACTGGAGCTCCTTTGCCACAAGCATCAAGAAATTTCCAGGAGAAAAAGACACTTTTTTGGGAGCTGTCCGGCGGGATATATTCACTTTCAGTGAACTCAGGCGCAAAGCTGGAAATTACACGGTTTGCCAAGGAGACCTCTGCTGTCATTTGATCTATCGGATGGCAAACAAGAGCAAAGATGAAGTTTATGTCCTGGGTGCATTTGATGGGCTTCACGGTTCTCTCATAAAATACCATTGGCAGGTAATTGGTTTTGTAGGGGTGAGTGTGGGCTGTATATGCCTACATCCCAACCATCCCAAAACATGTCTGCTCCTGCATTGTGAGAACTTTTCTTACAATCAAAGCCAGCTCTTGATTGTTGAAAGCTTAGTGGTATTTTGCCTTTCTGTACCCTCCTCCCCGCAGATATGCACGCTGCTCAAGTGCAAGACCACTGACCTGAAGACATGCGGGCAGCCGGTGGAGACTGCGCAGACCAAGTTTGAGACGTTCTCCCTCAGCGGCACGTTTGGCACTAACTACGTCTTTCCAGAAGTCTTGTACAGTGGGGTGCAGCTGGCCCCCGGGGAGTTCGAGGTAACGGGACACCCTGGAGCTGTGTCATGCTAGGTTTTCCAGGCCATGGCACTGGAAACTGATATGGCAGAAAAATCCCATCCAAGAACCACTTTCTTTGGTTCTGTGGACCATAACTCAAGAGGACATTTAAACGGATGGATTGAATTCATCCTTACTGATGAGAACGTATAAATGCTAAGGCTGAGGATCTCTTCAGTGTTTTCTTTAGCAAACATGCGTTCCCATTTCAGGTCCCAAATCTATAAATGGCAGCTTTCAAGGAGCTGTTTTCTACAGGTTTCTGCTGATGGGCATTTTAGGAGACAAAGAAATCAAATACTCTGAGAAATTGTCCAAGCAAGAAAAAATACTAATGGGTATCACACAGAAGAGCAGAGATCCTATGCAGTTAAAAATGTTAAAAGGGATTTTGGGGGGTTTTGTAGGGCTTATTTTTTTTGTTTGAAATGTCATCCTATATTTTTGCCAAAACATGTTTTCATTCATCAACCTTATATTATGTTTATGTAAGAGGCTAGATGAAATCTTAATTGATTTGGAAGAGGTATTTAATAGCTTACAAGAGACAATGAAGACAGTGAAAAAGACCTGAAGAATTTTAAGGGAAACAAGGGTGATTTTTTTACAAGGTAGAGAATGGAAAAGCATTGCTCATCCTGCATATTTGTTTTGAATGGGACTTCTGTAAAAATATACAGATCAAAGATTTATTGGTGTGCTAAAATAAGATCATGGTCTAATTTAAAAAAAATAATTTATATTTTCTTAACAAATACATGATTATTGTTTGTCACAGAGGCTCTTAAAATGTTGCAGGTGTTCACAGTCTATTAACAGCAGTGATTGATCTGTAAAAAGTAACTAAGAAAAGCAACATATGGCAAGTAGCCTGAAATTCTCTACTTCCATCTGGAAATTGTTTCATTGTTTTGGGGTCTACAAATCAAAAAAGATTTCAAATTACTCTCCTAGATATGTATATAGCCTTCATTGCCATGTATGAGTAACTAATGAGAACCTAACAAATCAGTTATTCTCACTCTAACCTTCTTATGAGGCAGAGAAAATGATCTTTTTTTTCCAAAGATGGAGCTGGAGGAAGTTTTAAAGACCTTCAGGGTCATTTCCCCAAGGAAATGTGGGAAGGCTATGGCAGAGCCAGAGCGAATTCTCGTTTCTTTCACTCTCATGATTGTCTTTTAAAAGTGCTGCATATTGAACCTCTAAGGCCTGTCCTTTCTGTACCATGCAATATTGCTACTGTGTTAGTGGACTATTAGCATAATACTTTCTCTTTTCAACTAGGTGCTACGTGACGGACGTTTGAAAAGTAAGCATGGCACATCGAAACCGCTCGTAACAGTGACGCTTTTTGGAAGGCTTTATGAAAAGGACCTGCCGCATCCCCTGCGAACCGCCCCATAACATAATTCCTTAGCTGTTACACAGTCACCATAGACAGGAGGGGAATGCCCTACAGTGATCCCCCTCCTCACGAGCCGTGGCAGTTATCCTGTATCATTGCTGTTTTGCAGTCTTGCTCAGCAGCTGCAGCAGTTGAGTTTATTTAGAAGAAAGCAGTTTGATCACTCTGTTGTGTACCTATATCAGTGGTATATATTTTTTTACTAGTGCTTGAGCCAGTGCAACTATTTTTTAGTATGAATGTTCTGTCATGTGAAATCTTTAATTAGAAATTATTGTTTTCCCGAAGATATCATGTAGATTGCCAGGATAACACTAGAAAAAAGACTGATACTGAAATGTGTGAAATGTGAAGTTTGCCAATTTGCTGCAGAACAAATCTTTGCCAAGGAAGCCTTTTTGTCCCTTTCGCCCCTTCCTGGTTTTTAGACTGTATAAGCACTAAGTGTCCATGTTTCTCAGCCTTACACACCAATCAATAGGGCCTCCCTAATGCTTAATGGGCCTTGGCCCTATTCTGACCAAGGGACTGTACAATGAAGAGAAAACCAGATTTGAAATGGTTTTAGGTGCAGCCTTAGAGAGAGAAAGTAGTCCTCTACAACCCACACAGGCACTGAGTCTGGCTGAGCTCTGTAAAGCATCTTCAGTTCTGCAACCCTTCTGAGCTTGTACCGTTTTGTGCATGGCAGATGCATGCTGGGTCCAATGCATTTCAGACCAGACTTACCATATAAACACAGTATGCCAACACCTTCTCCTGGGTATTTGGAAAATCTCTTCAAAACTGTGAAAACATAGGAAATAGGCAATGTTTTAGTACCTGAAAAACATTTTACCAGGTAGTGTGAGAAATGGACATTAGCTGGGACTTCTAGCAACGATATGTAAAACTTGGCAATCCTGGGCCTGATTTCTGTCTATCATGTTCTGCACCAAACAGGCCTCATTTGCACCACATATGCCTTGTAGCAGTCCCTGCCTTAATGCTTATCCCATAGTCTTTTGCGTCTACTGCCCTTCACATCGCTGGCTTACAGCCTGCATCACACTTAGCACTGAGCTGCCCTAAATGTGGCACATAAGAAACACTCTGTGGCTTCCCACCCCATGCACACCAAGGTATGTTATCCAGAAGTTGTTGAAATCACATGATTTCTGTTTTCCCATGGGCTGCTGGTTCTCAGCACACAACCTTGGAGACTCCTTCCAGGACTTGCTTCACCCTGGAAATAAAACAGCTGAGCTCGTACTCGGGGGAGGGACTGTACCGCTTGGGAGCAGTTACTCAAGACAGGCAGGGCCTCGAGGTCGTGCTTGCTGGTGCCTTGTCCAGCACCTCACCTTTTTCTCACCTGACTTGTGGTTGTAACCCAGACTAATCTTTCATCAAACAGAGGAGGTTTTGGTCAAGAGAGATAATGACCGACCTGTGGCAGTACTAATCCCACGTGACTGTTGGGTGTGTAGTATGTATGGGGTCCAGAATTTCAAGATGCAGACGGTCATGCTGAAGGGTGGGAGCTGACCCCGCTCCCCAAGCCAGTCTGGTACACTCCAGGAGCCCCTTGTCTTGTCCATAATGGGCAACAGTTTGGGAAGGGCAAACAAGACTGAGCATGCTGGTCATGAAGGCCTGCGGCGTCATCCTGTTGACCACGCAGGTCCGTTGGTTTGCACTGGGGTCAGCACAGTCAGGCACATACGGTCGAAAGTGTCTCTGCAGCAGAGCAGCCGGGAGCTTTGCCGTGGGGTTGGTCCCCGTGGTGGTGCTTCCCCATCCATCCTCAGTGCCGCTCACTCAGCCACCTGCTCTGGGAGAGCTCAACGAAACACGCTGAGAAAGGCAAAAGCTACCCTGACCTGTAAACTCCAGTACTGAAAAAGATCCTAAAATGGTTTTTAACTTGAAAACATAATTCTCTCTGCTGCCCCTGAACCCTGCTTTTTCTCTCTCTACCCCAGAGGAAGTCCTCTGATACCTTTCTGTTCTAGTCTTGGTCACTCTTTGAGACAGCTCAGGCTCCAGTGGGGTAGGGCTGGAAGAAGGAGGGAGCCCGGCTGGGGGGAAGGCCGCTGTCTCCTGCAGCCCTCTGACCTCACAGGCGCTGCAAGAGCTGCAAACTCGGGAGGACAAAAGCCACCTCGAGTGGCTTGGAGTGAGGGGCTGGGCGCTGCAAAGCTGCAAACTCGGGAGGACAAAAGCCACCTCGAGTGGCTTGGAGTGAGGGGCAGGAGAATGGAAACTTTCGCTGTGACTTGAACGTGAACTTTGAACTTTGTGGCGGCACGTGCAGCTTTTCACCTTTTCTTCAGCGCAGAGCCAGCGCCGTACCTTCTTCTCGCGCGCCCTGCTGCTCACCTCCATTTCCCCCTTGGCTGCCCTTCAGGCGAAATATGCTTTTATTACCTGGCCTAGAACTGCTCATGTGGAAAAGAAAAAAAGAAAAGAAAAAGAGGAACCCCTGCGGGAGTGGCACGTGAACGCAATTTGACTTTTGTTTTTGTTGTCGCAGTCAAATCACTTGATTAAAATCTTTTTTCACTGGTTGGCATCAATAGCTTTACATGCTAATCCACAAAAAAGAAGAATCTGGGGACATTTTAGAGAGAAATGCCTCACATGCATCAGTGGCAGTCTTGAAACAAACAAATACTTTGCAGGTTGCTGGTACTCTAAATCCTGAGTATTTCATGTACTCCAAATGGACGTGGAATTTATAAAAGCTTTCCGAAACTGAAGAGGAATACAGTTGGGAGACACGGATTGAACAGAATTGTAGACATTCAGTTTATTATTACTAGGTTTATCTCCCTCCTCTCAGGTTAAACTTTCCAAAAGTATCTGTAGCAGTGGAGTCAGTGAAAGTTCATTAGTGTTAATGAAATTGGGCCCCTGGGGAGAAAACTAAATTTTAAAGAAATATTTTCCTTTTATTCAAGGGTAGATTTTATGCCACATTCTGCTCCCTTGTCACTATCCAGGCTGTGATAATTGAACATAAAAATCTTTCACATATCTCTTGCTGGCATTTCTGAAGTATGGAGTACTTCCCAGATACATGCAGAGCTGACTGTCTTAGGCTGTCAGAGTTGGAAATGGGTAAGATGCAATTGATATTGCCAGTTAAGTAGCTTATATGATACCAGAAAAGGACTCTCGAACCTCATCCATTAGGGATGCCGAAGTCCAAGATTCATTGAAAATGACACTAAAACCAAATTTGAAGAATAGTTGACCTGTAGTTCTCAAGATTTGCTGCACAGCTTTCCTCTCCCTGAGGGCACAAGGGTGCCATACAATGGACCGCTGAGGAGTTTATTAATCTCTTTCTCATTTCTGATGATAAAGCAGGAATTTAACCAAGCAGAGGATGAAGTCACATGGACCGTTGCAGTATTCTCAGAATAGCTCCATCATTTTAATGCACAGGAACCATGAACCCTGCTTTTGGGTGAGGGTTTCCTGGAAGGAGTGCAAAAACCAACCAGATCTTCAGCTGAGGAGCTTGGTGGTCACAGTGACCAGATGAAGTGCAGTTTTAGGAAGTGTGAGTTTTTGTAATAAAGGCCAATTTCAAATGATGCAAATTACAGAAGCATTCAGAATACAGAAGCAGAGAGATAATGAATGACCGATGCAACAAATCACATTCACCTAGAACGGTTTCTGTTGAATTCACGGAAAGTTAACCGGCTATGCACTTACTTTCCTACCTGCTAGGTGGGAGTTAGAAAAGAGAGAACGTTAGCTCATCTTTAGGGGAAAAAAAAAAAGGCCTCTCCTGCATTTACCTTATGGGACAGAATTTGAGTTTCTGAAAGAACAGGAGTGTTTACTGACTCTGGGACAGATATGCCAGAGGAGAAGAATCAAATTAGTTTATATGTAATTCACATCAATGACTCAACCTCAAAAGCTACTCCAGATGGTACCCTAATGAACCCCATCCTTTCCTGAGCTGGGAAAGCCTGCTCTTCACACATCAATATTTCTTCTTTATACCTTGATGCTGGCCAAAGCAAACAGGACCCACCTGTCCACGGTGTCTCTGATCACACGGAGAGAAAAACAAGTCCTTAATAGATTTTATTGGTGCAAGGCTTCAGATGAAGGTAGAAAAATACTGCCTTAAAACAAGTTGTGATCCAAACCTTACGGCTGACTTAAGTAAGACTGGTAACAACTTTAGGGAAACTTTAACTCTGAGTAAATCAGAATCAGTGCAAATACAGTGAGTGACAGACAGAATGACCATGACCTGAGATTGAATTGAAGAATTCATACATTTCTAATTAACCAAGAACCAAATTATAACCCCACCTCATCCAGACAGTGTTTACAATGTCACCGCCCACCATCAGGGCAGGAAAGCTGAAAAAGAGAAATAACTTGCACAGGTCAATAAAGACAACAACAGTTATTAAAAGGCTTACCACAGCTAATACAGGAATGCTTCTCAGTGGCTTGTGATGGACTATGAGATGTCATGGAGCCCAACAGAGAAATAATTCTAGTATACTTTCTAAAAATTAACCTCTCGACACCATAGACAAACAGGACCTCCTACTGAAGCCATGGATGAGCATAACAGCATTACCCGGTGTTGTCTACCTCTGGATGAGACACAGCTAGAAATGATCAGTCTTGGTGAAACAGAAACTTAGCACATTGACAACAATATGTTAATTTCTCTTTCAGTTTAGAAAAGAATTAAGAATTAGCAGAAGCACTTGTAGCCTCCATCTGTGAAAGTATTAAAATGTTTCTTGTAGCTATTAATTACTATAAGGTTGTAAGTGAAGTACTCCATTGTCTGTTCAGATATTCTCATGGCAGCAGTGGATTTTCACTACAAATACGTACAATATAAGAAATGTGTTGTAACTACATGATTTTAACTTTGTCTATCCATCTTCATTTGCTGCTTCTAATGTTAAAGTTAGTTTTGATGAACTCATAGTCTGGTAGCTGTGATGGTGTCAGGACACAAGAGCAGCAAGGAGTGTAGGAAGCAGTAATAACTTTTAATGTCGGAAAAAATAGTCAATCTTTAGGAAAGCCCTTTGCAGAAAAGGAGAATAAGTATTTGCATCCAGTTGATTGTCCAGCTCATGTACTGCAAAACATAATAACACAAAACATAAAAAAAAAAAGAGTACCTTAGAGATAGTCCTCAAGATCAAGTGATGACTTTTGTAACAGAAATTTTTGAACATTTACTTCTAAATGAGTGTTAGGAGTATGAGACATACTTGAATTTATCAAAGTCAAATACACGGAA